AGACCAAGAGCAGAGTGAGTAGTGTCATGGAGGCCAGGGTGGGGTTGGGGTCAAGACTGTCCCTCTGCACCCGCCCCCAAAACTTGGGAGCACTAGGAAGATAAAATATTAAGGATCTAAAAATTTAGAAATAACATAAAATGAAAATACCAAATGCTCTTCAGGATACAGTAGATGGCACATTGCTATGGAAACCAGAGGCTGAATTATGTAGTAAGAGATGATGGAAGAATATCTGAGAGGCGGCAAAACACAAAGAGACCCAATTAAATCATCTCTGTGGGGAAAACAAACTGCCCGCTAGGAAAGCCACATCTGACCCCTCGGGAGGGAGGTGATTTCTCAACCGCTGGCTTCTCTCTGTGTAATCCGGGAGCTGCTTCTCAGGTTTTAAACATGGAAACAAACACCAGGGAGCTACGACATTCTAGTCAAAGGTTGAAAATGAGTTTCAGGTGCCGTGAGTGACGGGGCAAGTCTCACGCCAGGTTCTCTGCTTCTGGTCGCTCTTCTGGTGGCCCAGTCATCTCCCTTTACAGCCACAGTGGGGGACGGATCCCCAGATGTCCCCCATTCCTGGCAGTCGTGACAGCTTTTGTAGTGTTTCTGAGTTACATGTGCTACCCTCCTTTACCTACCTACTTTTTGTTCATTTACTTAATATTTCAGTTTGGAAGAGAACTTAAATTGGTAATGAAATAAACATTTTCAACTGGCACAGATAGAAGACCAACTCAAATAATGAGCACAGTGGGCCCTCGAGTTATGACTGGCCTGACATACAAACAACTTGGGTTACGACTGGAATTTTAGTTTTAACTTATGACCAAAGTTTAGAGTTATGACATGAATGCCAGTTGCATGTTCTTCCAGATGGTCTCAGATACAGATTTAACCCTTAAAAAGTTCTGGGAGGGAGATGACTACATTCTTTCCTTGTGGGGTTAACTGAGATCCTGGGCCAGTGTCTCTAAGGACACTGAGATCTGCCCAGAAGAAACTGTAGCTTAAACTTATACAGGAGACAGAATTTGAAGGCTGAGTAGAGAGCCCAATACATCAATTGACCAACGAGAGTTACAACCAGTCCGCATGAACAAATTGAGTTTGTAAGTCAAGGGTCCACTGTAAATAGAATTCTTTTGACCTCCAGGCTAGAAAAGACTTTTTGAAAGTGGAACTGTTATGGTTTAGATCTGAAATGTCCCCCAAAGTTTCATGTGTTCAGTGGTGGGGCTTTTGGAAGGTTCTGGGTCATGGAGGTGCGGTACTGATCAATGGATTAATCCACTGAGGAATCCACAGCTGACTGTGCTGTTAGGAGACACGGCCTGGTTGAAGGAGGTGGCTCAGTGGGAAGTGGCCGGAAAGATGGGCTCTTGTCCTTGGCTCTCCCCACTCTGCTTCCTGGCTGCCATGAAGTGAGCAGCTTTCTCCCACCATGCCTTTCGGCAGTATTGTTTCCGCCTCGATGCCAACCAACCACAGACTGAATCTTCCCACACCATGAGCCAAAATAAACCTCTCCTTCTTCAAGCTGAGTGTTGGGTATTCTGTCCCAGACACAGGTGCAAACAGTATGGTCCCTAAAACATATCAGTGCTCAGAAAACTTTGTCCCAAGGACTGCTGCCTGCTTTTGAAATAAAGTTTTATTGACACCCAGCCATGCCCATTCATTTGCATAGCACCTGTAGCTGCCTTAGTGACTCAATGCCTCAGCTGAGTAGCTGTGACAGACAGTATGGCCCACACATCTGAAGGGGTTCACCACTGGTCCTTTATAGAAAACCAGCTGACTCCTGATGCACATGACTGTAATCCGATGACCTTAAACATCAAAACATCTGTATGTCCAAGAAAAGCTTGGGAAAATACAATTTCCAATTTAGGATTTTGCAAATTATAATTTTTCACCTTTAAGATGGTATGAAAGCAATACCACTCAGTACAAACTGTATATCCAATTTTTAACTTTGCTCTTTCCCTGATCTAGTGACAGGTGGTGAGACTCCGTCTGGTCACCCCAGGCACTGGCAGCAGCTCCCAGTCAGCCCAGATCATGGGTGGAGACTTCACAGTGTGTTGCTAAGCTGGGACGCTGCCCAGACCAGGGGTACCGAGAGGGTTCCCAATGCATGTTGTTTCATTGGCTGCGACCTCGGGGTGAGTCGAGAGGCCCCATTCAAGGCCCACGTGGGAGGACTGCACCTCAGACCAGGGGGGCAGTTGAGAGGCATGGCAACAACAGTGACTCCTGCCACTATGAGGGACAATTTCAAGAATTTAACTGAGGGCAAAACTCAAGAATAGACACACACACTGAACACACGTTCACCCTCACTGGGACGCAAAGCAATGGAAAACCAGGGCCCATGAGCTCACGTGTCCCACCACTGAGACTGCAGCAACCAAGCCTGTAGCGGCAGGGTCCACGGGGTCTGGCAGGGAGGAAAATGGTGCAGCAACTTTGAGAGACAATTTGGTGACTGCTGACAAAAGGACAGCGGCACAGTCGACCACACAACTTCCCTAAAGGCCCCGGAAATGGTGAGTTTGATGAAGCGCAATGGCCCTGACAACCTCACTCCACGCAGGCCAAGAAGGCCCAGTGTGGGTCCCCATGGTAGGGAATTCACAGATGTGTGCCCAGGTCCTACCCAGGGCCACGTGGGGTCATGTGTCTGATCTGCCTGGGCATCGGAGAGCCGCGTCACCAAGGTATCTTGACTGTGGACCTGTGCCTGGGCCACCTTGGCCACACAGTGTAGGACCAGTGCAGGAAGGGGTTGGTGAAGACCAGGTCCCAGCTGCACTCACGAACCGCCCAGAGCATCTGCCACCTGTCAGGACGATGCCACATGCCTGCCTCCCTTACACGCTCCCACAAAGGCCTCGGAAGTGCCAGAACCCCCACTTTCTGGGGGAAAAAACGGAGATGGATGGGACAGATGCACTTGCCCAAGGCTCTGCAGGATGCTGGTGCAGAGCTTGGATTCCAACCCAAGTCTGCGTGGTTCCAAGCCCATCTGGGCTCCAGCCCCAAGTACACGACACGGACTTCATGGCGGCAGTGGGCCCGGGCCACACCGGGCAGCCCCTCCTCGGCAGCAAGCCAAGCAGGTGATCTCACCTCTCTGTTCCAAGTACGAGATCTGGGACCTGGAGAAGCACAACAGCCTCAGTATGGTGTGGAGGTCACAGCAGCCAGTGTCTGGGCTCTCCCCGTCCTCCATCATGAAGATGGGGCCCATGGCGACCAGGTCCACATGTGAGGCAGGAACAAGGGCTCACCTGAAAGGAAGTAGCCTGGCTTTGGGCTGAGGAGGAACCACATAAGGAAGGAAGCCCGGGACAGCTTTTAGGCCAGGCCTCCTCTTACCCCACAGGACATCGGGCAACATGTGGAAATGTTTTGGGAGATCACGGGTGGGGCCTGAGGTATACCCCAACACCCCCCGGCCCCATCATGGAGCCATAGCTGGGAACCCCACAGGAGACCCTCGCTGCTTAATGTGTGGTCCACAGACCTGAGTGCGGGCACCCCAGAGCTTGCTAGGACCACAGACCCCCAGGCCTTGCTTTACCCTGTGGCATCAGGACCTGCATTCCCAGGGTCCTCGGTGAGAGGCACTGACAAAGGGCACAGAGACAGCGACACCAGATGAGCAGACCCAGGCCAGCACCGCTCCGCCAGCTCTGGGCTTAAACTGGGGAGAGGCAGACTGAGTTGTCCAGGGTGCTGTCCCCCCAAACCCAGCTGTACGTGGGAAGCTTATAGAGTAAGCGGCTATGAAATTCTACTGACCACCAATTTTCTACTCCTTATATTCAAAACCTTAGTTGACTGGAGAATTCTTAATATTTCATGCTAACTTCTAGATGCACTGGAGTCTTTATGTTGAGACCATTGTATATGTGTATTTCACCTAAAAATCTGTTATGTTTTCAAAGAAATCATCCTACAAAATAATCCAGGCAGGTAGGTGCTCATTACTATTTCCCCAGAAACCAAGCTGGTTCATGAATATGTAATATTTTATGAGCATCCATTTGATGATAGAAAATAATTGATTTTACTTTCTTTATGAAATATAATTTTCTTTTTAACTGTGAAAGTGGGGAGGAGGAGGAGGAAGGGGAGGAGGAGGAGGAGGAGGAGGAGGACGACGACGACGACGACCCTGAATGCCAACACAGGGACTGCGTGCTCCATACTTTCCCACCCTGCAGCTCAGAAAACAAGCGGGCTCACATGGGGCCCTACTTTGGGCCCTACCCAGCAAGAAGGGCCCGATTTTCCTGGACAAACCACTGGCTTCTACTCCCCACTCTGGGCCGCCCTCCCAGACAGTGTCTGTGACGAGGACACTGAGGGAGCAGCCATCCCTTGCGAGCCACAGCCCTGCCCTTGCTCACAGTAGCTCCACCTCCCCAGAGTCCTGTCGCAGGCGGCACCACGGACACCGACAGCGCAGCGGCCAAGCCCTGACCCATAACAGTGACCACCAAGAGGACAAGTGGCCGCCCAGGGCCTCTGGGGGACAAAGAAAGTGTTCATGCACGGCTTTGTGCCACAGCCAGAGGCAGACCTCACGTGCACTGCCCCAGCTCGCGTGCACGTGTGTGTAGCGTCCATTGAAAAACTTACACAATCAAGCCATAGCACGTCTACATTCTTGCCAGAAGCACCAGACGGAGGCGAGCGGGAACTGTTCCTCACCAGGCAAGGCGCACCCTCACGAGTTCATCCCAGTCCCTGCTGGCTGTGACCCCGAAACTCCTCCATACATCTGGTTTGGCTCCCATTTCCCCGGAGACATCTGGCGATGTCTGAGCAGTTTTGATTGCCATGGGAAATACCAAGTAGAGGCCAAGGATGCTACGAAGCCCCTTGCAATGCACAGGGGCCCCACAGCGAAAAGCAGCTGTTGCCGATGCACCTCCCACCCAGCACAAGGGGCCAGGCAGCCCCGTGTGTACCCGCACTCTCCCACTTACTTGGAGAGTTTCAGTTCGATCTGCTGCCGGATTTCCTGTCTTTCTTCGTCAGTTCTCCTGGGGAAAATGTTCCGGTCTTCCAGTTCCTGCTTGCTTGGCCGGTTCCTCAGCTTCACTGCCAGGAGCTCCTTCTTGCACTTCCTGGGCAGTGTTCCTAAGAGGCCCATCAGAGGGAAGAGACAAGGGGGTCAGAGAAAATAGGTCTTAGACGTTGCTGGCTTAGAATCCAGCCTCCCTTAGGTGGGAGGAAGGAGCCTGGAGAGCTGGGAGATGCCCATGTGCCCTGGGTGGTGGGAGGGAGGCATTAGCACGGGAGATGCGATGGCACTGTGCCAGCTCCCTCAGCCTCCTGCCCAGGGTCCCACCTCCCAGGGGCCCGCGGAGAGTCCTGGTTGACACCTGCTGTCCCTCGGTGATTATTCATACCACCTTCATTGTCCTGTCCAGTGTCTGAGTCCGGGACATGAATCATACAGTAATTACCTATGGGGGCCGTGCCCATCCCCATGTAACACAGACCCTGTCCTATTGTCCACCACCTGTGGCTTTAGCTCTTGAAACAGAGGTGGCGAACCTATGGCACACATGCCACAGTGGGCTCTTTGTCATCACTGAAAGTTCTAAAAGTTTCGCCATAGCTGTCCTAGCATACCCCATCTTCCTTTTCTTTCCACCTGGGCCCCCTGTGCAGGGCACAGCACGAGTCAGAGCCACAGCCACCGCCACGCCACTCTGTCCCAATCTCTTCCTTCGCGGATGTGTTCCTTGTTGTCTAGCTCACAGTCCATCTCCTCCACTGGAGTTTAAACTCCACGACAACCTCTTATTCCCTGCACCCCCGAGCGGCATGGAGACGGCGGGTCATCAGTGAGAATCCCAGGGTGCATGGAGGCCTGGCTGGCTTTGCGGCTGCCAGGCAGTTTGTTCTTCAAGTTTATACAACGTCCTGAATCAGCTGAGTGGAGCTGGGGCATGAGGAGGGTCTTGGGGAGTGGAATAAATCCTCACAAGAACGGAATGGCACTCCCTGCATGCACGGGTAGAGGAGCTCTGAGAAAGGAGAGCGTCCCACTTAACTGGGCTCCCCAGGGGCAGAGCCCCTCCCACCATGTCCCTGGTCAGGCACTCGCTGACCATTTGCAAGTAACTGAAATGTCAGCCACCACCAGGGCGGCAGTTTTGCAGCTGGTGGCTTTGCAGTTTTACTAGGGCATCCTGGGGGCTCTGAGACAACAGCATCCCTCACGGTCACTTCTTTAGATGAAGGCAAAAGTCTTTCTTAAGAAAAATGGCTCCGCAAAGCAAGTCAACTACTCTATGGGAACACAAAGCAAGGAAGTCAGTTTAAGAGAAACTGGGGGTAAAGTAAGACAAAAATGGAATTCAGCCGGGGCTCGAATTTCTAATGTTCATTTGTTTGTCATGTGCCTTAGAGAGAAAGGGGAAAATGATGACTGAAAATCATTTCAGCCAGAACGCTAGCCTGAATTTATTTTAATAGCTTTATAAATGACTGCAGTTCAGAATTTATAGAATCATAAAAAGCCTAAAGGAGTCGCATGCATGTTTTTATTGGTCTTTACTGCATGTTACGGAGGAATGGAAAGCTATGGTAATGCTCCTGAATTTAGGAAGTCTCAAAGGTCTCCAGACAAATCCATCATAAATGACAAGGGTCTAATACACGGCAAAGGAAGGACCGCCATTTTCCAGGAACTACAGCATGCTGAGTCAGAAAACTACACTGGAAGTGGTTTAATCATTTTAGCTCTTAATAAAGCAAGTCCTTAAACTTACTGTAAATGTCTCAGGATCGTCATGACAAACTTGTCGTCGCATTTGTTCTTAACTGAAGAAAAGAGCCTGTCGTGGGAGGTTTCCAGATGGAAACGGGACCTCACCCTCGGGAGTGCCTGCTGCTACTGCCCAGTCCAGCCCCAGGGCCACAGCAAGGACACAGAAGGGCCACGGTGGAGGAATGCGGTAGGGTCACAGCAAGTCTCTGGGCTGTCTTCAGGGTGTCAGGACGTCTTCACCAAGGTGTTACCAGGAACACCAGGAAGTTATGTGACTTCCTGACAGTAGCTGTTTTTGCTACTTAAAATTCAAAACAGGAAATTTCTAGAAAAATAGCTGGCAACAGCCCTGGGTTCCAAGCCACCATCCACAGTCCATGCACTGCGTGTGGGACTCTGGAGGCGTCCCCAGCCCCCAGCATCGACTCCATTATCCACGGCCAAAAGCGAAGGACACCAGTTCAGAACCTCAGGCCTCTTTCACTGAGCTCACAGAAGCACCGGTGCTGTGGGTCATTCCTCTCCTTCAAAGCCCCCATCTCTCTCCTTCCAGGCATCGCCCGGCCAGTGTCCCCTGCTCCATGACTACGTCTCCACTTCTCTCCCTGGCTCCTCCTGTTCTCCCCCAAGTGTGCCCAGACTCAGTCCTCAGACCTTTCCATCTGCACCAACTCTTCCTCTGTGACCTCTTTCATCCCAGGACTCTGAAGTCCAACTGCCAATGGCTCGAGACTTCCATGGCCAGACACAACTCCCGCCACAATTCTGGGCCTGCCTGGTGAGCTCTGTCACCATGCTGCCCTGGGCTCTGCCGGGCATTCAACGCTAGCAGGTCCACAACAGGCCCAAGTTGGAAGCCACACCTGCTACAGCATCCAGAGGCCTAACCGGCTGGCCCTGCTGAGGCCAGGAAGGCGCCTGTCTGTAAAGTGCCTACCTCACGCCTGGTGTCTAAGAGCAACACCGCAGGTCACAGCCAGCCTGCTCACTGCCAGTGGTCAGGTGAGGGGAGGAGACATGAACCGGCCGCAGTGTGGAGGCCAGCAGCCGTGTGTACCTCCTGTTTGTTCAGGTGGCTCTCTCCCGCCCTCTCTCTCCCAAACACGGCCACTACGCGAGCATGAAGCATTTTCACACCACGGATGAAAACAAACATGGCAAGCTCATCACAGCAAGGTTCCCACCTGCCTTGTTTTGCCACATATTCACTTAGAAAATGTCTGGGGAATCACATAAAACAAGATATGAGGAATAAGCTCCCAAGGGTGTGGGCATCCCGTGTGCAAAGTAAAAGCGAGGGCACTGACTTCTGTTTCTGGCCAAGAAGAGCAATCAGGGATTTAATTGTCTTTCTCACCTTAAAACAAAACAAAACAGCAGTCAACCTCTATGAAATGATAGGTTTTAAGATGCTAAAAATCAGTAATGAAGGCTAGAGACCCTTCTGAGATAAAAACCAAAGGAGGTGAGCCCTAGGGCTGCCCCAGCAGACGCCTTCAGAGAGCCAGCAGCACCAGGCCCAAGGAAAGGGACCCAGGAAGAGCCCAGAAGACTCCCTGAATTGAGAAGAGAGGCTGAGACTAAGGCAGAGGGGGCACAGAGAGGTGGGAAGGAGAGAGGAAACCGGGAGAGCTGCAGAGGTCGCTGAGCCTCCGCCACTGTGAGAAAAGGGTCAGAGAAGAGTGCCCAGTGGGCACCAGGCCAGGCCCAGAGCTGTCCATGTTAGCCAGTGTGGAAAGCTGCACAATGCTCGAGACACTGCGTGCAAGACACACGGCTATTAATGCCTTGGTAAGGGGCATAAATAGCCCTGGACCAAGCACTCCTCTGGCCCTGCGGAAGACATCTTCAAAACCAGACTTGGATGAATTTGACTCTCTGCAAGTCAATTAAAGGCTTCCTGGATAATATTCAAGAATATTTACAGGAATAGAGAACTATCCAACTACCATGAAAATAAATTCACATTGCATTCCATCCCATCAAAGGTAATACATCCGCAAAGCAGCAGCCAAAGCACCTTGACCCTCAGGCACTGTAATGAGAACAGTGTCAGGCCATTGTGATCTCAACCAGTGATAATGAGGAAAACAGCAGCATGGAGACAGACAGATGCAGGGAGAGAGGGACAGAGGGAACATGGCGGCAGATGTCACATCAGAAACAGCTCCAGTGAGAAGACCCTGGAGCAACACCTTCAAAGTCCTGGAGAAGGGAAACAGTTCCGTCAACTCCATATTTGGCAGGAGTATCCTTCAAAATTAAGGCAAAATGAAGGTTTCTGTGGCCGTACAAAAGCTAACCTCAGAGTTAACCAACGACTAGCAGACCAGCACTACCAGAAATGACAACAGAAATCTTTCCGTCTGGAGGTATGGCACACCGAGTCTGCAAAAGGAGAATGGTAGCCACAGTGGAAATGTACACGTATTTATTTCTCTTTAAAGAGAACCAGCTTTATCAATAACAGTAGCAATACCATATGAGTGTATAACAGGGGCAGAGGACATCACAACAACAGAACAAAGGTTGGTATAGGAAAGAAGGGCGTGGACTGCTCTACGGCAAATGGTACAGTGAGTTGAAGACAGACAGCAGTAAGATAAAGACGCGTGCCGTAATAAACACTAAGCAACCAGCTCGAAGACCCGAATGAAGAGTTACAGTTGATAAGCCCAACAGAAGAGATAAAATGGAATAGCAAGCCTAATGCAGAAGGAAGGCAGAAAGAGAAGAGGAGCAAACATAATGTGGAACAAATCATGCGGAAAAAATAGTCTGTCAGATGCTAGATTCAAACCTAATAAAATCAATCATAGTGCTCGCTTCGGCAGCACATATACTAAAATTGGAACGATACAGAGAAGATTAGCATGGCCCCTGCGCAAGGATGACACGCAAATTCGTGAAGCGTTCCATATTTTTTTGCCCATCCGTTGGAAACTGGATAAAGAAGTTGTGGTTTTTCTATAAAATGGAGTATTACTCAGCCATAAAGAGCGAGAGAATAGATTCATTCATAGGAAAATGGATACATATTGAAGATATACTCCTAAGTGAAATAAATAAGTCCCACATGTGTAAATACCAAATAGTTTCCCTGGTGTGAATATTCTGCAACAATGCATAAGATTCTAATAAGATTACTGACATTTAGAAATGGGAGGAAAGGAGCTAAAGGTGTAGGGAAGGTGTGATACATAGGGGAAGAACAAAAAGGGAAAAGAAAAAAATGTGAGAGAATGAAAAGATGAAAATAAAGTGTTTGTAGATGGGGAGGGGAGGAGGGGGTGAAGGGAGGGCAGAGGTAAGGGGAAAAAATGAGAATCAAGACTTGCCATGTAAAGGTACATGATCC